TGTCGCTGTAGTGAGCACTTGGAGAATACGTTTAATAGTGACCACGTATTTTTTAACTACAGCCGGAAAAATAATTTGTGACCAGTAATCAACGAGGAACAGAATGCAAGCATCTATAAATCGTCCGATTAGGTAATCCGGTTAGTGATATAAAAGCAAGAGTCTGATATATTATAAAAATTACGGATTTTCAAGAGAAGGCCTTCTATATGAAGAGTAAATCAGAAGAAAGTGTCAGAGTAACACGAACTGGACTGAATTCCGCTATTTAATTAGAAAACCATTTGTTGACGACCATGCTGAGACCTGGTCAAGACCATCTTTCGGTACTTGCAGATATATCTGACTTTTGAGAGGATGACCAACAACCATATCAACAGCAAATTTAACTAACAAACATTCGTTTGACGATCGTAGGTCGTCAGTGTGGAGGGTGAAGAAGTGAGGGATAATATGTAGACCCTTGGAGAACTTGAGATGCTATCCAATATCTGAACGGAGGCTTTGATCAGCATTCGTGACGCCCCGAACAAAGACGTCCTAAGCAAACACAAATCCAAAGAAAAAGCATTGCATCTGGTCGGTAACGGAACACCCTACATGTATAAGCCAGGAACCCTAGCCGTGTCTGTAAGGTCAATTACTAACCCCAGTTCGGTTACCGGGCGAATATCCATAACAAAATAACAATCATAAATTTGTCTTACTCTTGAACCGAATCTCCAACAGCATCTAAAACGCTATTTACTTACTGCAATCTGAATACTTATGCCTAGCCTACGTTCTAGCTCTGTTCCCTACCCTAACGAGTGGGATGCCCTAGCCCCAATTCATAAACTTAGGTCAGAACCGTAACCCAAAAACTGACCTACACATTAGCATTAATGAAAACCATATATTAAACTCGAATCCTTACCATTAGTTCCCCAAAATCACACCCTTGCCCTTAACTTTTTCTCCAATAAAGATCAAAAAGTCAGCCGTGTAGCCAAATAAACGATAGAAGCGAAGACGGTCAAGTACTGTGGAATAATCACGTCATATCCATTCTACAAACAAGTACCAATATATCTAGTTTGCGTATCATGAGGTAATGGTAAACGATGAAGGTCCCGTTCATATAAATATATGCCCCGCATCCAAAACGTTCTAAAATTCTTTGCCTAGAAACCCTCAGTGGACTATCTGGATAGCTGATACTCCTGTCACTGCGACGTACAGCAGAGACATCGGGTAAGGAAGTGTCTGAGTTTTTAGCTAGTATGTATGTCGGAAGAACGTATAAATTTTCTGCATATTAAATTTACAATTAATTAACTTAACTAATCGTGTGTGACCGCGTTGTACGGTCAATTTGGTATCTAGTAACAAGTAAAATTCTGGAAATAATTTTCAACTCGAACAAACTACTTCAGTCAGGTTGCAATACTGGTCACCGTAGCATCCGATTATGGCATAATTCTGTCACGTCCTTTGAGCATGATTCCCTCTAATACCCTGCATAAGTAGTATGCTGTTCATCTTATTTATTATCAATACCCCTTTATGCTTAAATGCAAGTGGAGCCAACCATAAGGAATGGTATTCATTTAAAAAGGAGCAATTTATTTTTACAAAAAGTAATTTTTGCTGACAGACGAAGTGTTTTTCCACAAAATGGTTTAACAAGAAATTTTTGCCACCATCAAGTATTCGGGAGGTAGCTGAAACGGCCCTATTTTTATTACGAAGATGAAGTTAAAACCAAATCTTATTAACTCAAAATCATGTAAGGATATGATTAAGAGGAAAGCCTCGTTGGAGACAAGCAAGATAAACTTGTGCATTTTTAAGCATGTAACAGCGGCCCGTCATCAGAATAAATGAAACACGGAGAAAGTGAAATGGCCGGTTGAAGGTATATTTTTCTATACTATTACTTCCGCTAATGCCTGATTTAGAAGCGAGAGAGGGAAAGAGAGGATGAATAAATATATCAAAATTTTAATATATTTTCGGCCACATCTTTTTGTATGCGCAAGCTTAGAACAGAGCCTGGAAACAATGCACTAGGGTGAAATATACTCCAATATAAAGTGAAAGAGGAGTTTTCTTATGTTTGATCGAAATGCCATCATTAACATTCAGATAAATTAAAATATGATCAGGGAGTTCTTACAGTTGAAGTGAAATGGGTCATTTAGCCATTGTCATCCAACATTGCACGTATCCTGCGTTGAGTATGCCCATGACCTTTTAAAAAGGTTTGTTTCCATTATCCCTCTTTATATAGCCGTTGTGATATTATTTATAATGTACATGGTCCCCTTCATCTGCATGAAGATGTTACTCGTTTTGGAATTCTGGATAGTTATTCGGCATTTCCATTCGAGTCTTTTTTACGTAGTGTTCGAGTAAACATCGAGTGGTCCACCCACTTAGCCTGACAGGTGTTCAGACGCTTTTCCGAAAAACGGCCCGCTAGGTTACAACCAGCTTCACTATTGTTAGAAGATGATGAGGGAGTCGCACGACCTTTCAAACTGCCCCAGCGATCCACCGTGATTTTTCACAAGGACTATTTTCTGTCCACACAGTCACCCAATAATATCGTACTTATTGGACATAAGCCATGCATCTTGACATCTGTGACGGCTACGGACATAAAATATCGACCTTTTAGTGACAATGAGAACATTTTTACACTCACTCACCTTCACTCTTCCATTCTGTACATTTTTAAAGCTTCTGTTTTATCAGCCATGCTATTAGATGGTACACTGGGCGATTTCATCTGTAAATACGTAGCCTTTAACATTGACGGCCAACTTTCTCTTATCCCTCTACTACACACTTGCAATTCATAGTGATCCCTTTTTGCACAATGAAACTTTCGCCCGGCACTTACTCACAGAATGTTACCCTTAACTTACACGGCCAGTTTTCTCTTATTTCTTAACTTCTCACTGCCACTTCATAGTGATCCCTTTTTGCGCAATGCTACTTACGACAAACACTTACTCATGGAATGTACGACTAAGGTGGCCGACTTTCGAAAGCATGTACCCCGTTGTGGAATTTCCTCATGACAAAAGTGTCAAGGCGGTGGCCGCGGCCTG